AGATTGAATCCTTTTAAAGTAATTCTTTCTCCAGGTTTCAGATGGGTTTCCTGGAGTGCCACGCAGAGAGATGAGGTAGATGATGTCAAGTGTTTAATGTCAGAGAAGTTGTTGCGAAAACCACGACAGTTCCATTGGATTATTTTATAACCCATTATGTGTTTGAGGCAGCATTCTTTGTGAAGGTATCCCTCTTTAGCTTTACGGCTGATTTGCCTTTTGGAGGTGAAGTTGGTGGTGTCACCTCCTTATTAGTCTCCTCGTCAGAGATGTCAGAAAACTCACTCATAGACTGAGCCTCTGATCTCTTAGACTTGGAGATGGCTGCTTTTAATTTTTGTTTATTGAGCGGGTTCTTAGCGGCCTTCTTCGAACCCACGTTCCTTGTTATTACCCCGTTTTAGGTAGGGGTGTTTTGGTTTTCTTGCTCTCCTTTTCTGCTGTTTGGTCAGATGGTATAAGCAAACATTTTTCGTGGCGAGTTAGAGATTCTTTTGGTGAAACAGAAATGTCTGTCTGAACTCCACATGTCTTTGTGGATTTCAGAACAGCAGCAAATGTCTTCTGTTTCACTGGTGCATTTAAAGTGACCATGCGTCGTGCCTCTGGGTAAGGTATATTATTCAACATCTTTACCCGCTGAATCTCTTTCTCTCTTTGCCACGTGGGGCATTTTCGGGAATAGGCAGGATGGGCCTCTTTGCAGTTGACGCAGCATGGAGTGGTTGTACACTCAGTACCTTGGTGGCCTTCAGCTCCACACTGTGCACATAAACTTTTGCCTCTACATGATGTTTGGGAATGTCCAAATCGCTGGCATTTAAAGCAACGCAGCGGATTTGGAATGTACGGACGAACCGAACAGCGCAGATATCCTGCAGTAACAAATGATGGTAATGTTGGCTTTCCGAAAGTAAGAATAAGATGTTTAGTTGGTATCAACTTGCCGTCTCGACGAATGGAGATGCGTCGGACAGCAGTGACACCTTGATCTGAAAGACNACTGTTTCCTATTATTATGTTGTGTATATAAAGCTACGTTTGCTTCACGTATTGAGTTATTGATATTCACTGAAATGAAATATTTAAACAGAAACAAATTTTTTATAGGAATATGAAATAGTACAGTTGACACTAACACTGAGTATGATACCAGAAAAATCTAAAATCTCAAAAAAGTAAAGTACAATGAACATACTTCAAATGTTTCTAAACTTCAAACACTTCAGAGTTCAAATGCTAAATTCAACAAAAATTTACCTTAGAGTTTGAATAATGCTTCAAAGTTTGAACTGTGCATGCAATGGGAAAATGCAGTCAAAGCATAAATGTAATCTGTTTTGCACCCAAGACATTTCTTGCCTTGGCTTTTTCAAAAAAATACCAAAAAAAAATTTGCAGATACTTTATAGTACTTGTAATAAGTTGCATTAAAAGTCTTCTCCATGATTTTTAATGCAGCTTACTACTATACTAAAGAATATCCAGATACACTACACCACAATAATCCTAAAAGACCAATACCATGATTTTACCAGCAGAGAGAAGGGTACAGAACTTGTAATGTAGGTCTTATGGAAAAATTGCACCATTCATATATACATGTATGCTACAGTACTGTTTTTGACCATTGTTAAAAGTGTATGAGGAATTTTCATGCTGATAGCATTTTATGAAAAATTTCATAACAAGTTGGTGTTCTTGGGCAGATATTAAACATTCTGACACAATATTCAATGACAAGATGGGAAAGAAAGCCAGGAAGTTTATATTTCATCCAATATGTGACAGTTATTTGAAGTATATGGAAAATGAGGTTTGATTGAACTACATTGTAGCATTTATTGAAAATAAAATTAGTTCACATATTTACTGGATAACTTACATATAATCCATTACAATTACTGCATATTAAGACTTATTACAAGCATAATTATTCTTTAAGTATTAAAATTTGGTTTTCAAATAACAATTGATATTATGTAGTTTTTTTATTAGTTTTGCATTTTCTAATNCCTCGATTAACCGAGAGTCCTAGTCGGCAAATTTTAAATGTCTGCTAGTGATGTGGCGCTACAATATTTGGCTATGTCTTGGCTACTTTAATATTATTTTTACGTGTTTTAGCTGGCAACACTGGATCGACTACGAAAGAGAGCCAGTATTTAAACGAAGCTTAATTTTCTAATTTTTAACGATACAATAGCAAGGATTATTATTTTAAAAAATTTCTGTTAGTCTTAACATCGATGAAAATTCAACGCGAAGTAGGTTAATAGTGATATACTAATATACTAATTACATGGGATATAATAATGTACAGTAGAGCCGAATCAATTGGGGACTGGGGTGGTTCGAATAACTGATATTTCGGATAACAAATCATGTACGAAAAAATATATTAATTTATCCCATGTTCAAATTTTTCTTTGTTGCGTGTCGCTTCACGTTGAATTTTCGTCTATGTTAAGCCTAACGAAGGCTATTGTATCGTTAAAAATTATATTTTTATTTTGTACAAACAAAANAAGCAACGCAGCGGATTTGGAATGTACGGACGAACCGAACAGCGCAGATATCCTGCAGTAACAAATGATGGTAATGTTGGCTTTCCGAAAGTAAGAATAAGATGTTTAGTTGGTATCAACTTGCCGTCTCGACGAATGGAGATGCGTCGGACAGCAGTGACACCTTGATTTGAAAGACCGATCTGAATATCTGATTCATCTTCAGACATCAGATCGATCTCGGATATCACCCCACGTGATGAGTATAGACTTCCGTGTGGGGTGACAGTGACTTCCATGTCTCCCAGTGTTTTTGTTGCTAATAGATTTACTGTTTGTTGAGGTGAGGCTGTTTCTACCAGCAGGTCCCCTGACCTCAATTTTTGTATCTTTTTCAAGTGTCCAATCGTTGATTCAAATATTTTTTGAATAAGAAATGGAGAGCATTTTGACAGTGGTTTATCACCAATTGCATGAACTATCAAGTAGGTTGCAGTGCTGGAAATGTTGGTTGTTACTAAAGGTAACTTATCCCTGTTTGGTTGTTTTAAATTTTTGGAATCCATATTTAGACAAAGCAATTCAGCTCCTAGTGACCCCACCCACCATGGGGCCCAACAAGGGGATGCCGTCACATGGGAGACTCCCATAGACTGTCACACCAGGGTTTCCCAGGAGCTATACCATCACAATGCAGTCAAGAAGAGCACATCTTGTCTGACATGTCCACCCGGTCTGCATCGATCGGTTGACTCCAAGCCGAGGTCAAGAATGACTCAACGACCAGCCAATTGACTCAAACGGAGCCTGATTTGAGCCTCCCGTTTATCCGAAGCAGGGGCCAAAGCAGTGTGTTGGGGACGTTATGTTGCCCCTCAACTACCAGGATCCCCCCTTTCCGGCATACGGGACACCACGCACGGCAAACACGTGGGTGGGCGTTCAGATCCCATGGATGGTAAAGAAGAGTTACTAAACCATCTCTGGGAGGTCCCCTCACCACGAACAGGAACCCACATCGAGGGGCAGATAGATAACGTAGATAATGTTAAGTGTTTAATGTCAGAGAAGTTGTTGCGGAAACCACGACAGTTCCATTGAATTATTTTATAATCCATTATGTGTTTGAGGCAGCATTCTTTGCAAGGGTATCCCTCTTTAATTTAATAGGGGGTTTCTCTTTTGGAGGTGACATTAATTTTGTAACCTCCTTGTGAGTCTCGTCTTCAGAGAAGTCAGAGAACTCGCTCATAGATTAAGCCTCTGACTTTTTTGATTTAGAGAGAGCAGCTTTCACTCTCTGTTTGTTTAACGGGTTCTTACTTGCCTTTTTGGAACTCACATTTCTGGTTGTTACCCCTGTTTTAGTTACAGGGGTTTTGGTCTTTGTGTTTGCCGTTTCTTCTGCTTGTGTAGGTGGGTTAGTAAACATTTTGTATGGCGAGTAAGAGATTCACTTGGTGATACAGAAATATCTGTTTGAACTCCACATGTTTTTGTGGATTTCAAAACAGAAGCAAAAGTTTTTTGTTTTAATGTTGTAGTTTGAGTGACCAAGCGACGGGCCTCTGGGTATGGTATGTTATTTGTGGTTTTTACCCGTTGAATCTCCTTTTCTCTCTGCCATGCAGGACATTTCCTTGAGTACGCAGGATGGGCATCTTTACAATTCACACAGCATGGAGAATTGGTGCACTCGGTACTCTCGTGACCTTCAGTCTGACACTGTGTGCATGTGCTTTTCCCACGGCAGGATGTTTGTGAATGTCCAAATCGCTGGCATTTGAAGCAACGCAGCGGATTTAAAACATACGGACGAAGTGGGCAGCGCAGATAACCTGCTGTGCTAGCAGATGGCAAAGTTAGTTTGTTAAAAGTTAAAATTAAGTGTTTAGTAGGAATTAACTTGCCGTCTCGACGAATGGAGATGCGTCGAACAGCAGTAACTTCTTGATCTGAAAGACCAATCTGGATATCTGATTCATCCTCAGACATCAGATCAATTTCAGATATCACACCACGTGAAGAGTTCAGACTTGTGTGTGGTGTGATAGTGACTTGTATGTCTCCTAGAGACTTCATTTTCAATAGTTTTTCTGACTGTTGAGGGGAGGCTGCTTCCACAAGTAGATCTCCTGACCTCAATTTTTGGATTTTTTTAAGGTGCCCAATGGTCGACTCAAAAAGTTTCTGGATTAAAAAAGGAGAGCGTTTAGACAAAGGTGTTTCTCCTGTAGCGTGAACAATAAGGTAAGTTGGTTGATTGGAGGAATTAACCTCCTTTGGTGGCAGTGCATTGGTAGATGTTTTAGATTTTAGAGAATCCATATTTAGAGATAATAATTCAGCTCCTAGTGACCCCACCCACCACGGGGCCCAACAAGGGGATGCCGTCACATGGAAGACTCCCATAGACCGTGACACCAGGGTTTCCCAGGAGCTATACCCTCACAATGCAGTCAAGAAGAGCACATCTTGGCTGACGTGTCCGCCCGGTCTGCATCGATCAGTTGACTCCAGGCCGAGGTCAAGAATGACTCAACGACCAGCCGATTGACTCAAACGGAGCCTGATTTGAGCCTCCCGTTTATCCGAAGCAAGGGCCAAAGCAGTGTGTTGGGGACTTTATGTTGCCCCTCAACTACCAGGATCCCCCTTTCCGGCATACGGGACACCACGCACGGCAAACAGGTGGGTGGGCGTTCAGATCCCAGAGATGGTAAAGAGGAGTTTCTAAACCATCTCTGGAAGGTCCCCTCACCACGGACAGGAACCCACATCGAGGGGTTAAAGTCTTTCCCATTGTTTTCTCAGCTGCCTGAATAATACTAGTAGTGACTACTTCAACTGCATCATTGATATCAGCAGTATTGACCATTTCCTCAGTGATGTCAGCCAAAGAGGAGAATGCAGGCCAATCTGCCATTTCAAGTTTCCAGCGTGGTGGACGAGCTGTTTCACAGCTTTCTCTGCCTCGGTATTTTAGAAATATTGGGAAGTGGTCACTAGAGAGTGGATTACATCCAACCTCCCATGTAAATGCTAAAAACAGGTTTGGGCTTGCTAAGGATAGATCAATGGCAGTGAACGTTCTTGTTGGGGCATGAAAGTATGTCACTTCTCCCGTATTAAATAAATATAGTTGCTGATTGCTNAACGGCGATTAAAATTATTTATATTAATGATGTCTCCAAACTTCAACGAAGTTATCGCAGAAAAAAAAGTTATTGGAAATCGGACGTAATATGCTGAGCTGTTCCGCGACGAAAACAAGCTTTAGCAATATCGATGTCGAATGGTGCACACTCGGTTAGTAATCCTACAATTTTTTGTTTATAGCGTAGTTTTTACGGATTATTCCCAAAAAAAAGTATACGTATTTTGGAAATGTTGAGTCGGTTAGTCTAGAATCGATTAATTTTATGGAAGAAAACCTTTCAATCAGCAGTAGTCCGTAAACTTTACACGTGTCAAGCTGTGATTGGAACGACTCGTAAGAAATCGGATTCCTAAAAAATGGAACGTATCTATGACCTTATAGGGAGGGTCGACTTTTGTATATGTTTTCAGATTGTCCATTTTCTTGATAGTGTTTCTCCCTTTCCTGAAGCCGTACTGCCGGTTACACATGATACCATTACTCTCATAGTGATAGACAATACGATTGACAAGGAGAGCATCCAGCACTTTCCCGATAAATGACAGAAGTGATATTGGTCTGAAGTCTGAGGCAGAAGATGGCGGTGAGTTTCTGTTCTTTGNATGCTGAGAAGGACTTGCTGACTTAGCAGCTGCATCAGCTTCTTCATTTCCTCTTATTCCTACGTGGCCTGGGACCCGACAAAATTTTATAGAGACATTCCTTGCAAAAAGATGACAAATTAGTTTCTGAATTTTAATAACTATGGAGTAAGAACTAGGTTCATACGAGATCAAAGCCTGAAGTGCACTAACTGAGTCAGTGTAAATCACGCAGCCACGATGACCTTTTCTATTTATGTATTTCAGGGCTAAATAAATAGCCTGCGACTCCGCAGAAAAGATGGAAGAGTTCGATGCTATTTGTTCTGCCACAATTTCATCCTGGCAGACGAAGGCTGAGCCAACGTAGTTATCCGATTTCGATCCATCAGTGTATATAGGAATTAAATTCCTGTCACGAAGTTGAATTTCTGCGAAGTACTGTTTATAGACATAGTCTGGTGTGGTTTCTTTTGAAAACTGCTTTAAGCTTAAATCAACATCTATCGCTGGTGTTGACCAAGGTAGAATACTATTAAACTCAACATGCGAGATGTTGCTTCTGTTAATGTCCATCATGCTGCTCACATTCTCCATTCTTATGGCGAATGCAGGGACACAACTTGGGCGTGCTTCATATAACCTTTTCAGCTGAGTATCTAATACTGTACAATCAACTGAAGGTTTAGTAACAGAATTTTGTTTCATATAATAAAAAAAGAGACAACTGTTCTCTCCTAACAGATAGTGGAGGCTCATAAGCATCCACATACAGACTTTGGACTGGAGAGGTGCGGAAGGCACCAGTGCACAAACGTAATGCTTGATGGTGGATTGGATCCAGCAACCGAAGAGTAGATTTCCTTGCAGAGCCATATACAACACATCCGTAGTCCAGCTTAGAGCGAACAAGGGCCCTATAGATCTTGAGCATAGAACATTTGTCTGCTCCCCAGGATGAGCAGCACAGTACCTTTAAAAGGTTTAGAGATTTAAACATCTACTCTTCAAATTGCGCAAGTGCGGCAAAAATGTCAGTTTATGGTCAAACAACACGCCCAAAAATTTTGCCTCGTTCACCATTGGAATTTTTACCCCATTTAAGTAAATTTCTGGATCCAGGTGCAAACCACGCCTTCGGCAAAAGTGCATGCACGAGGTCTTCTCCGTGTTAAAACTAAAACCATTGGTCTTGGACCAATGGTCTATACGATTTAGGGAGGTTTTCAGTTGTCTCTCGATGAAGCTCATGTTGCTAGACTGACAGGAGATCTGAAAGTCATCCACATACAAAGAGTGTTTCACACTAGGAGGAAGACAGTTAGCTATGCTATTAATTTTAATTAGGAACAGAGTCACATTCAGAATAGAGCCTTGAGGAACACCTTCTTGTTGCGTGAAAGGCCTAGATAATGTGTTGCCCATCCTGACTTGGAATCTTCGATTCTCTAAGAAGTTTTTTATAAAAATCGGCAAATTACCCCGCAATCCGAATTGGTCCAGATCACGGAGTATCCCGTATCGCCAACAGCGATCGTAGGCCTTCTCTATATCAAAAAACACAGATACTAAGTGCTGTCGTCTGACAAACGCTTCGCGTATAGATGTTTCAAGGTTTACTAAGTTGTCATTGGTACATCTGTTCCTACGAAAACCACTCTGATGTGGTGAAAAGTATTCATTTTTCTCTAGGAGATACATCAGACGTCTGTTTACCATCCTCTCAAAGAGTTTACAGAGACAACTTGTCAGAGAGATTGGTCTGTAATTAGAGGGATTCTTGTGGTTTTTACCAGGTTTTGGAATGGGGATAATAATTGATAGTCTCCAAAAGTCAGGAAAAGTATTTTCTCTCCATATTCTGTTAAACAGATGTAGGAGATTTGAAAGGGAATTGTTTGACAGATTTTTAATCATGCTGTAGTGGATTTTATCCAGACCTACAGCACTATTCCCAATGCGAGAAATTGCTGTTTGTAATTCTATTCTGGTAAATGGCACATTATATTCCTCATTAGATAAGGAATGAAAGTTTAAACATTGTTTTTCTCTTTGGGCTTTATAAGCCTGAAAATTTCTTGAATACATAATATTGCTGGATGAAGCAGAAAATGTTTCACCCAATAAATCAGCAATACCCTGTATATCGCTGATTATTGTGCCATTATTTTCCAGCATGGACAGAGAATGAGAAGCATATTTCCCATTAATTTTATGGATTTTATCCCAGACTGCTTTTGAGCTAGTGGAAGATGTTATGCTAGAAAAATACTTCCTCCAAGAATCCCTTTGGCTTTGCCTTCTAACTCTTCTGGCATTTGCCTTTGCTTTTTTAAAAGCTATCAAATTTCTAGCAGTGGGGTATCTTCTAAAAATTCCCCATGCATTCTTTTGTGCTTTAAATGCTGCCTCGCAATTCTGATTCCACCATGGTTTCAAATGCTTTAGATATCTAGTTGATGTTTTCCCCATTGTTTTTTCCGCTGCCTGAACAATAGTACAGGTGACAACTTCAACTGCATCATTGATGTCTGCAATATTTACCANCTGAGAAAATACGTGGAGAAAAAATATTTTTTGAGAACTATAAATGCTAGACTTATGCAGTTTTCGTGATTGTTTTCTTCTGAGTTTATTTTACATAGAAAAAATTGTTTTTGATTTTATTTTTAAATAAATTTGTCATTTTCGATTTTTTATAGAAATAGACCTGGTACAAAGCTCAAGGTCATCTATAGTCTAGACGAAAATGTTCTTTTTTCTGTCTTTTTCTGTAATTTTTGTGCTAATTTTTATGATATTACAATTTCATTTAGTTTATTACATATTTCCATTATACTTTTCAGTATTTATGGTGATAATTTTTATTTATTTAAACGTAAATGCAATGTATTAATGTAATTTTTGTTGTATTTATAGTTATTTAGTGAGTTTTTGTACTAATGTAATCTCTTATATGTTTGTTTTTGACAGCTTTCTGTTATTTATTACATTTTTATTCAACTTTGTTAATTACTTTACAAGATAATATTGTAAACAGAAGCACATGTCTTTAGCAGTGACGTGATGGGTCATGTGACCACATTAACACGTGGCGACACCATTCGGTTGGTTGGTTGGTTATCGTTTATTGGCGCAAGGGCAACATAGGCCAAGCTGCGCCATATCAAATGGTGTGATTATATATACAAATAAATAAATATATAATGTAAAATATTAAGTATAAATAAATAAATAATATAATAAATAACAAAACCAATAACAAAANGCAGTATTGACCATTTCCTCAGTGATGTCAGCCAAAGAGGAGAATGCAGGCCAATCTGCCATTTCAAGTTTCCAGCGTGGTGGACGAGCTGTTTCACAGCTTTCTCTGCCTCGGTATTTTAGAAATATTGGGAAGTGGTCACTAGAGAGTGGATTACATCCAATCTCCCATGTAAATGCTAAAAACAGGTTTGGGCTTGCTAAGGATAGATCAATGGCAGTGAACGTTCTTGTTGGGGCATGAAAGTATGTCACTTCTCCCGTATTAAATAAATATAGTTGCTGATTGCTTATGAGTCTTTCAATGGCCATGCCTCGACGATTGATGTCGGGACTGCCCCACATAGGATTGTGGCCATTGAAATCACCAAGTAACAGGAACGGAGTTGGCAGCTGTTCAACTAATGCATCCAATTCATCTTCGTTGACTCTGACATCTGGTGGCAGGTATACAGAACAAACTGTGACGGTTACTCCAATAGAAATTTTGACTGCGACAGCTTGCAACTCTGTTGTTATTTGTACAGGCAAAGATGAGATGTGATTGGAAACCAGGATAGCCACACCGCCACTGGCACGGTTGTGGCTATCGTCATCCTTGCGGTACAGTCCAAATCCTTTTAAAGTAATTCTCTCTCCAGGTTTTAGATGAGTCTCCTGGAGTGCCACGCAGAGAGATGAGGTAGATGATGTTAAATGTTTAATGTCAGAGAAGTTATTGCGGAAACCACGACAGTTCCATTGGATTATTTTATAATCCATTATGTGTTTGAGGCAGCGTTCTTTGTGAAGGTATCCCTCTTTAGTTTTACGGCTGATTTGCCTTTTGGAGGTGAAGTTGGTGGTGTCACCCCCTTATTATTCTCTTCATCAGAGAGGTCAGAGAACTCGCTCATAGACTGAGTCTCTGATTTTTTAGATTTAGACAGGGCTGCTTTTATTCTTTGTTTATTAAGTGGGTTTTTACTGGCTTTTTTGGAACCCACATTCCTAGTTCTTATCCCTGTTTTAGGTATGAGCAGTTTTGCTTTGTTATTCTCTTTTTCTGTTGCTTTGGTAGGTGGTGTCAGCAGGCATTTTTCATGGCGAGTCAGAGATTTATTTGGCGAAACAAAAATGTCTGTCTGAACTCCACATGTCTTTGTGGATTTCAGAACATCAGCAAATGTCTTCTGTTTCACTGGTGCACTTAAAGTGACCATGCGACGTGCCTATGGGTAAGAGATATTATTAAAAATCTTCAATCGCTGAATTTCTTTCTCTCTCTGCCATGTAGTGCATTTTCGGGAATATGCAGAATGGGAATCTTTGCAGTTTACACAGCATGGAGAACTTGTGCATTCAGTACTCTCATGGTCTTCATTTCCACACTGTGCACGTGCTTTTTTTCCTCTGCATGATGTTTGGGAGTGTCCAAACCGCTGGCATTTAAAGCAACGCAGCGGGTTTGGAATGTATGGGCAGACTGGGCAACGGAGATATCCTGCCGCAACAGAAGATGGCAATGTTAGTTTGTTGAAAGTCAATATAAGGTGTTTTGTTGGTATCAACTTGCCATCTCGACCGATAGAAATTCGTCGAACGGCAGTGACACCTTGGTTAGTTAGTTAGTTAGTTTTAGTTTTTTTTTGGCACAAGAGCCATGTAGGCTAAGCTGCGCCAAGGCAAATACTACAAATTTTATACATCACACACAACAAACATAAGACACAAATAAATAAACAAACAAACAGACGACAACAACATATATATACAACAATATAAATAAGCAAAAACAATGTAAATAAAACTCTGAAATTAGTAAAAAAATAAATAAGTAATCAAATCTCTCTATACATATTATTGACTTTCAGAAAGTCCACTATGTTTTCCAGATTTGGCCTCTGGCCCAAAATCTCTCCCAAGCCTGCATTTCCAAAATGCTGTCTTCGACTTTGGTCAAAAGCAACGCAATTGCAAAGTATGTGTTTAACGCTTACAGTACAGTTGCAATACTGATATACTGGTTCCTCGTCACCCTTCAAAAGATGTTGATGAGTCAGTCGAGTGTGTCCAATTCTCAAACGAGTAAGGATAACCTCAGATCTCCTATCATATTGTCTATTACCTGTCCACTTTTCTATCAAAGGTTTGATCTCGTACAGTTTATTGTGGGTTTGTGCATTCCACATAATTTGCCATCTCTCTGCTAGTCGTTTTTTAATGACTACCTTCAAGTCACCTCCTTCAAAACGCATTGTATGCTGAGAAAGACATGCTGACTTAGCAGCTGCATCAGCTTCTTCATTTCCTCTTATTCCTACGTGGCCTGGAACCCAACAAAATTTTATAGAGAAATTCCTTGCAAGAAGATGACAAATTAGTTTCTGAATTTTAATAACTATGGAGTGGGAACTAGGTTCATACGAGATCAAAGCCTGAAGTGCACTAACTGAGTCAGTGTAAATCACGCAGCAACGATGACCTTTTCTATTTATGTATTTTAGGGCTAAATAAATAGCCTGCAACTCCGCAGTAAAGATGGAGGAATTCAATGCTATTTGTTCTGCCACAATTTCATTTTGGCAAACAAAGACTAAGCCAACGTAGTTATCTGATTTCGATCCATCAGTATAAATAGGAATTGAATTCCTGTCACAATGTTGAATTTGTGCGAAGTGCTGTCTATAGATGCAGTCTGGCGTGGTTTCTTTGGGAAATTGCTTTAAGCTTAAATCAACATAAAACAACATCTATCGCTGGGGTTGACCAAGGTGGAATACTATTAAACTCAGCCTGTAAGATGTTGCTTGTGTTAAGGTCAATTGGGCTGCTCACATTCTCCATTCTTATGTTGAATGTAGGGACACAGCTTGGGCGAGCTTCAAATAACCTTTTCAGCTGAGTATCTAATGCCGTACAATCAACTGAAGATTTAGCTTGGGATTTCTGTTTAATGTAATAGAAAAGAGACAACTGTTCTCTCCTGAGTGTTAGTGGAGGCTCATAAGCATCCACATACAAGCTTTGTACAGGAGAAGTGCGAAAGGCACCAGTGCACAAACGCAAAGCTTCATGATGGATTGGATCCAGCATCCGAAGAGTCGATTCGCGTGCAGAGCCGTAAACAATGCATCCGTAGTCCAGCTTAGAGCGGACAAGGGCCCTATAAATCCTGAGCATTGAAACTTTATCTGCTCCCCAGGATGAGCAGCATAGTACCTTAAAAGGTTTAAAGATTTTAAACATCTACTCTTCAGGTTGCGCAAGTGCAGCAAAAATGTCAGTTTTTGGTCGAAAGAAACACCCAAAAACTTCGTCTCATTCACCATTGGGATTTTATCCCCGTTTAAGCAAATTTCTGGATCAAGGTGCAAACCACGCCTTCGGCAAAAGTGAATGAACGAGGTCTTCTCTATGTTGAAATTAAAACCATTAATCTTTGACCAATGATCTATGCGATTTAGGGAGGTTTGCAGTTGTCTCTCGATAAAACTCATGTTGCTCGACTGGCAGGAGATCTGAAAGTCATCCACATACAGAGAGTGTTTCACACTGGGAAAGAGACAGTTAGCTATGCTGTTGATTTTGATTAGGAACAGAGTCACACTCAAAATACATCCTTGAGGAACACCTTCTTCTTGGACGAAGGTCCTAGATAGTGTGTTGCCCATCCTAACTTGGAATCTTCGATTCTGCAGAAAGTTTTTTATAAAAACTGGAAAATTGCCCCGCAATCCAAATTCATGTAAATCACGAAGTATTCCGTAACGCCAACAGCGATCGTAGGCCTTCTCAACATCAAAGAATACAGACACTAAGTGCTGTCATCTAACAAACGCTTCGCGTATGGATGTTTCAAGTTTTACTAAATTGTCCGTGTTACTTCTGTTCCTACGAAATCCACTCTGGTGTGGTGAAAAGTAGTTCTTTTCCTCTAGGAGGAACATCAGGCGCGTGTTTACCATTCTCTCAAAAAGTTTACACAGGCAACTTGTCAGAGAGATTGGTCTGTAATTAGAGGGATTCTTGTGGTTTTTACCAGGTTTTGGAATGGGGATAATAATTGATAGTCTCCAAAAGTCAGGAAAAGTATTTTCTCTCCATATTCTGTTAAACAGATGTAGGAGATTTGAAAGGGAATTGTTTGNTCTCTCAGACTTGCATTTCCGAAATGTTGTCTACAACTTAAATCAAAAGCAATGCAATTGCAAAGTATGTGTTTTACACTTAGGATGCAGTTGCAATCCTCACATACTGGCTGTTCTTCACCCTTCAAAAGGTATTCATGAGTCAGTCGAGTATGCCCAATTCTTAAGCGACAAAGAATAACTTCAGATCTCCTGTCATACTGTTTATTACGTCTCCAATTTTCTATCATCGGTTTGATCTCGTGTAATTTATTGTGGATTTGTTCATTCCACATAATTTGCCATCTCTCTGCTAGTCGTTTTTTAACGACTAGCTTCAAATCACTTCCTTCAACATGCATTGTATGCTGAGAAGGACTTGCTGATTTTGCTGCTGTGTCAGCTTCTTCATTTCCTCTTATTCCTACGTGGCCTGGGACCCAACAAAATTTTATAGAGAAATTCCTTGCAAAAAGATGACAAATTAGTTTCTGAATTTTAATAACTATGGAGTAAGAACTAGGTTCATACGAGATCAAAGCCTGAAGTGCACTAACTGAGTCAGTGTAAATCATGCAGCAACGATGACCTTTCCTATTTATATAATTTAAAGCTAAATAAATAGCCTGCAACTCCGCAGAAAAGATGGAAGAATTCGGTGCTATTTGTTCTGCCACAATTTCATCCTGGCAAACAAAGGCTAGGCCAACATAGTTATCAGATTTAGATCCATCAGCATATATTGGAATTAGATTCCTGTCACGATGTAGAATTTCTGCGAAGTGCTGTCTGTAGACGTAGTCCGGGGTGGATTCCTTAGGGAATTGCTTTAAGCTAAAATCAATATTTATCACTGGAGTTGACCAAGATGTTATACTATCAACCTCGAGCTGTGAAATGTTGCCTGTGTCAAGATCAATCGTGCTGCTCGCATTCTCCATTCTTATGGCGAATGTAGGGACACTACTTGGGCGTGCTTCAAATAACTTTTTCAGCTGAGTATCTGATACTGTACAATCAACTGAAGGTTTAGTAAGAGATTTTTGTTTTATATAATAAAAAAGAAACAACTGTTCTCTCCTAAAAGATAGTAAAGGCTCATAAGCATTCACATACAAACTTTGGACAGGAGAAGTTCGAAATGCACCAGTGCACAAACGCAGTGCTTGATGGTGGATTGGATCCAGCATCCGAAGAGTAGATTCTCGCGCAAAGCCATAAACAATGCATCCGTAGTCCAGCTTTGAGCGGACAAGGGCCCTGTAAATCCTGAGCATAGAACTTTTGTCTGCTCCCCAGGATGTGCAGCATAGTACCTTTAGAAGGTTCAGAGATTTTAGACATCTACTCTTCAAATTGCGCAAGTGCGGTAAAAACATCAGTTTAGTATCCAATATAACTCCCAAAAACTTTGTCTCGTTGACCATTGGGATTTTAACCCCATTTAGGTGAATTACAGGGTCCAAGTGCAAACCACGCCTTCGGCAAAAGTGCATGCACGAGGTCTTCTCTACGTTGAAACTAAAACCATTGGTCTTGGACCAATTGTCTATGCGATTTAGGGAGGTTTGCAGTTGTCTCTCGATAAAACCCATGTTGCTAGACTGGCAGGAGATCTGAAAGTCATCCACATACAGAGAGTGTTTCACACTAGAAGGAAGACAGTTAGCTATGCTGTTAATTTTGATTAAGAACAGAGTTACACTCAAAATACAACCTTGAGGTACGCCTTCTTCTTGGATAAAAGGCCTAGATAGTGTGTTGCCCATCCTAACTTGAAATCATCGATTCTGTAGGAAGTTTTTTATAAAAATCGGCATATTACCTCGTAATCCAAATAGATGCAAATCGCGAAGTATCCCATATCTCCAACATCAATCGTAAGCCTTCTCTATATCAAAGAATACAGACACTAAGTGCTGTCGTCTAACAAACGCTTCGCGTATAGATGTTTCTAGTTTTACTAAATTGTCTGTGGTACTTCTGTTCCTACGAAATCCACTCTGATGTGATGAGAAGTATTCATTTTTCTCTAAGAGATACATCAGACGTCTGTTTACCATCCTCTCAAAGAGTTTACACAGGCAACTTGTCTGAGAGATT